GGCGAGGGGTAAGGCTGGGAGGTGTCGGGGTGTGTGTATGTGTGCGTTGGCGGGGAGAAGATGAGAGACGCGAGTGGGTAAATGTCGTAGGTTTGCAAAAATCTCTCCAGTATCTCCAGGCTATTTATGCCTCAGCAAAGAATCTTGTCACCGGAGTTAACGTGCTGTTTTACGAGACTCTTTTAAAAGGCGGATAAAGCTGGATTTTAATCACATGTGGGTTTTAATCACCAAGTTATGAAAAGCAAATCGCGATCAGAGCGGCTCCTCTGTCCCCGTCCCCGCCCCGAGGGGAGCGGGGCCACGCGTGAACCCGGCGCCCAGAGCGCCTCCTCTGAACAGGTTTGATTTTCTCTGAGGGCAGCAAAACAATGGGCTCGGATGTCTTCTGGATATTTATAGCTCAAACCCAAGCAGCGGAAAGGTCACAGGGGGGCCAGGCGTTGCCTTCCTCGATGTATGTACTGCTCACCATGGTCTGTAGTGGTGACTTTCACCAGTCCTTCCCTGTGCTGTCCCAGCGGCGCAGGGAGAGCCGGCCGGCCGAGGAGGAGCTGAGTGCGCTCCTTGCTTCGGCGCAAGTTCGTGATTTTTTGGGGGGGGGGGGGGGGGGGGGGGCACGACTTGTCCCCTCCTTTGAAACACGGCGGCTCTCTTCGGAAGCCGGGTTAGCTACACGGAGAGACACACAGACGCTTCACAGGGAGAATAAAATGGCATGGCGACAAAATAGGATTTCTTGTGTTTAGGATGGCCGTATTGCTCACAAAGAGAGAAATGAGGTAGCGATTAGGAGCTCCATTAACGAATTTTGCCGGCACCGTCTTCGTAGCACGCGTCCCGTGGGTATTTCTTATGGCATATATTAAAAATGCACAAATGGGCTTCAGAAAACAGCTTCGAGGGTTTTATTTTAGTCTATCTGTAAAGAGATGGCATTACAAAATGGTTTTCCTACGGTACATTGTGTAAAGCTATGCTAATGAACTACTGTGAGGCTTTGCAGTGAGACAAAACAACGCGGCACACATTTTAGGACCTGCAAGGTGTTTATTACAGCTACTTATCTGTAAGACTAGCATCCTGCTAAGATTTGATACCTTGAAAAAGCCTTACGTTGCTGGCAAGAGCAAAACCCCTATCCGTTTTGCTATGGTGTGAAGTTCTTCTGTCTAACCTCAGAGGTTTCATGAAACAGCCATCTTAATGCTGCCTGCACTCCTGTATGGAGTACCTGCTTCTCAAACATACTGCGGGCAAGCCAAGCCTATCCACAACAAAAACAGCGAGAAAAGGCAGCTGGCTAAAAGTGTCCAGAGGTTTTGGACTGGATGCCGTCTCGGCAGAGATGAATCCGTAAGAAGGAGGTGGGTAACAGAAGTCCGAGGAAGTGCAATTGCGGCAACGATAAAAATAGACTGCCACGTGCCACCTCATTTTATTGAAGAGCCATGCGCAGACCATATATTCCATATAGATCTGTTCGGTGGTGGTGCATGAACAACGAACCGATATCAAACCTTTGAAAAGGCAAACCGGAATTTTCAGGGTAGACGAAAGGCAAACGATAATAACGTGATTTTTTTTTCCATGCCATGTGAATGTTCATATTCATGAATTCCCATTTTTGACTAGTGCCTGTTAGGTCCACGAATAGAGAGGGACTTAATTTGGTTCCAGATGTAGTTTCTCAGTTAAGCTTTTGTCTGAGTGCTCAGTGCA